TGCCCCAGTTTTTTTCACAAAGCTTCCTCAAATGTTGCATTTAGATGCATTTTTACGCAGATGATACTCAAATATTATGTGGTTTTTCATCCACAGGTCCAGTTGTTGTTTCTAAAGTCACAAAATCACAGCATGTAGTCTATCATCAAGGTTTGATATGTGCAACTGTTTAGTTTAGAAACCAAAAACAGAAGAAGCTTGGTTAATTTGACTGACATTGTTTCCAAAAAGTTGATTCATGGTTAGCCTGAAGATTCAAATGTTGTTTTGCTTTGGCATCTAATAGTTGCCAATAGTAGCTGTTTCAGGGTTTGAACAGAAAGAAAGATGATAAAGTTTGGCCATTCACACATAATCCTAAAAATCAAATCAACACAAACTGACCTATCAACCCGTTTATTATTTCAGTCTTACTTTGGTCTTGGTAGGCTAGTTGGTATGCTAACTTCTATCAACATTTTCTCTAGTCAATCTAAAGTTCACTGTGTGTAACTAGTGCAGTAGCGGGTAGACTTTGCAGTCTACCTGCTAAATGCAGCAGCCATATTGGATTTTAGGTCTTTGGGTTAATAGATTTAGAGGGCATTCCAGAGGATATTATGGGTTAAGATTTTGGATAGTTCAGCTTCAGATTAAAAATGGAACAAACAGTTGTCTTTGACAATAAACTGAGGTTTAATCAAGCAGGTTAAGAGTTGTGGACAATAAATGGATGGATGGGAATGTTTCAATGTGTTTAGGCCTTCATCCAGGACACAAGTTTAATATTTGCTTCAAGACTGTGAAACTCCAGTCAGAAAGTTGTCCTTCAAGAGCCTTTGACAGAATCTAGTGGGAGCAAGCTGCCAAATAAAAGATGAAAGCCTCTTATTTATTATTTAATGATAATATTTTAGTCTTTTCTGCTGTTGTTCAAACACAACATTTGCCTCAGAGCGATTCTCTCCTTATGTTGTCTCCATTTTTTATAACTTTGTAACATCAAGCCTTGTTCCCAGTGGGCCGAGAAGACTGCCCCGTCTTTGCTCCGAGGTTTCTTGTCCCTTTCAGCTCGAGGGAAGCCCGGCGCTCTCTGGGATGACGCCTCACGGCTTTCTGTTGTTTTCCCAGGGGGAGGAAACATTCGTATCGAGAACGTGAAGCTGGATTTCAAAGATAAGGCTCACGCCAAGGTCGGCTCCCTGGACAATGCCAGCCACATGCCTGGAGGAGGGAATGTCATGGTAACAAAGTTTTACATTCACTTTTACAGTCAAGAATTTAAGTGTCAGGTTAAAATATTTATTAAATAGAACGATGAACTGGAGATAAGTCGAGTGAGATGGGCAGTGTTGACAGGGGAGAGATGAGGTAGATGTGGGTTTTGACCTTGACTTCTTAGATCCGTTTCTCCTTCTTTCCCGACCAAACAGATCGAGAGCCACAAGTTGAGCTTTCGGGAAACGGCCAAAGCTCGCGTGGATCACGGCGCCGAAATCATCATCACCCACTCCCCCGGCGTGGAAACGGGGGGCACGTCTCCCCGCCTGTCGTCCGCCGGCAGCATCAACATGATGGAGTCGCCCCAGCTGTCCACGCTGGCGCAGGACGTCACGGCCGCACTGGCCAAACAGGGCTTATGAGCTTTCGGTCCGTCCCCACGTCCTCCTGTCATTGTGGTCCCCCCTCATAGGCATCCACCGTTGTCCCTTCAGTGCAACATGACCCCCAACACCTCATAACCCCCACAGTTGTAGTCGATCGGGCTGTCGTTCGCCCATTCAGATTTTAAAGACTAGCTTCTGCCGCCTTTAAACGGGAAGCCTCTTAGTTCTTCAATCCTCAACTCAAATATGGATGTTCGATTCAGATCCGATAGGCCGAAGGGTCGATTGTCTCAGCAAGTGGTTTTTACGATTGTATGACGAATTTTTTGAAGCGCATCGCCACAGCCCTCCAGAATTTTTACGAATGCAATTTATTGCTACTAGATAATTAATGTTGTCTTAAAGGATACAAATGTATGAGAGACTGACGGAGAAATGCGAAAGAGTGGCTGACAAGTGGACATGTCTGCTGAAATGTGACATGAGTTTGTCTTTGTTCGTCGGATTTTAATGTTTTCTTGCTCTGTTTTCTTTTTTTTTTACATAAATGTTACTGTAGTGTTACCGTTTTGTACCTTCCCTGTGGCTGCTCTGGCTTATTGGCGATTATAATAACCATGGCAGATAATGTGTAAAATGTCGAGCGATGAACAGCTAGCTTTATAATAGGCTTTCTTTTTAGTTGTCCTCCCTTCCCCCAAAGCTGCCTGTTTACGTTCGTTTTTATATTTGCGCTGTAGTTTTACAAGGTTACACGATACTGTTGTGCTGGCATGGCAACAAAAAAAAAAAATACAGATTCAGTTCGAACTATTTGCAGCTATTTTAAACTTTTTAAGTTTGAACGAAAACGGCCCGGATTCAATCCAAGTCAGGCCAGAATGACTCTCCTTGTTTTTACTAAAACACTTGGTGGTACGGTGTGTTCAAATGGGTTAAGAGCCCAGAGTTTGTTCAAATTAAGTGTGAAGTATGAAGCTTTATATGACAACATTCCTGTGGGGTGAAAAAGATAAAAATAAATGTGTTGGTTTTGATCGTTGCTGGAAGTCAAGAAGAATGAAAGCTAGAGTTCTTTTTCTTTCTAAAAACGAAAAAAAAAAGAAGTAAAACGAAACTCTTCTATCAGATTTTTCCTCACCTTTGTGGAACCCTTTTTGCCCCCTGGTGTCAGGAACCTTAACCCTGACCCCCACTGTTTCCCCGTGCTTCCTCTTTCTCCACCCCCTCTTTGCCTGTGTAAGTGTATTTAAAGAAATGTAGACGTGTGTGGACTATTTCCAATGTTTGAGATGTATCAAATGCTTCAACAAAATGACGACCGCATAAATAAAGAAAATAAAAATCGAATTTCTTGAGTGGCTTGTTTTGATTCAGTTTGGTTGCTTCAGAAATCACAACTTCACTTTTTTCCCGATGTCCATGATACAGGCAAGAAAACGCTTTTTTGTTTAGGGTCATTACTGTTTTTTTTTTGTTTTTTTTTTTTTGTTGTTTTTTTGTTTTTGTATTAAAACAACTTACTTGGCTCATCTCAAAGCAGCTTTTGCTAGCTATTTTCTAATTGACTCTTCTGTTGTGAATTTTAACTTTGACACTTGGCGTAGCGAACTTTTCCAGACTCTAATTATTTATTCTAAATCATATTTTCAGTCAAGATATCCTTTTCAGGACAGGTTATGTTTTATATCATTTTGGCCCCACGCTGTGGTCACAGAGACATTTGAGACTGGTTGTAGTTTTGCTAGCATTAGCCAGTTTGCTACTAGCTGGTCAGATAACAACAAGACCGTTTAGTTAGCATTAGCTTAGCTATTGACCGAATGAACAACAAAACTCTCATTCCAATTTGTGGAAATGACTTTCTGAAACCGTGTGTTCGGCGTTTTCATTCACTTTTATCCAACGGCTAACAGTTAGCTTCATGGCTAGCTGAACGTGCTGACGTAAAAATGTGGTTAATTCTGTTAGCCGTTAGTGTTGTCTCAGGCGTTGGCCACTAAATTGGAAAGATTCCAAGAAATACCCTGATCCCGTGCCTTTAATTAGACAGTGCCGCTTGGTTTCTCTTGTGACGTTTTCCATATTGTGTCACGTGGCTGGTGAATGAAAACGTAGCTCTGAGTTGACGAGCAGTGATTTAAAGCACCTGTGGGGGAAGAGATAAGAGGAACCAGAACAGAGGTGGAGAAGTTTATTCCCTGGATTGGTGGTGAACAGGAGGATGGTTCCATGTTAGGAGGAGAGCTTGGTTAGTGTTAGATGTTCCCTTGCAGCCTGACCTGACCCACCTGGTGGAGCTTCACCCGCCAGAACCACAGTGTGACCAGGTGTGTCTGTTCAACCCAGGGGGGTCATTGCATGTTGACCCCATGAGGTGGAGAACTTTTTTTTCTCGTTTTTTTTAAGTAAAAGTTTGCAGAAGAATTCAATCTAACTACATGTGAATGAATGAATGAATGAATGTACTTCATTAATCCAAGAGGAAAATTCTTGTTTCAGTACAACCTGTCCAAAACCGACATAAAAACTTCATGACATGACAAAAACGGTGTGCTTTATTATGCATTTTCTTTTTCTCTTCATCGAACAGAAATGGGGGGAGGGGGGGAAATGACTGTGCTTTTGAGAAAGACTGGATTTAATTTCTAAGTTGAGCTTACTAACTTTTTACATGTATGAAGTATTTAAAAAAAAAAAAAGCATGTTCTGTCAGTTACAAAGTTTAAGTGATGCTTTTTTTTACTTTTACGTGGAAAGTACCGAAACGCCCCACCATTTTTGGACGCTTCGGTCGACATACAGAGTCTCACCAAACTGGACAGAAATCAAATAAAACACAGGAGCTGGGGATTTTATCCTGTCAGGGGAGGTTCTTCTTGCGCTGCCTCACAACCAATCAAAAAGTAGGAAATAATTTCAAATCTTGGGGAGGATTAAATGTACTGCAGTCAAACATAAAAAAGGTGAAAGAAACTTTTTTTTTCTACTGTTTTTGTACTTTTAACCAGGCGGGTTAAGAACAAATCCTTATTTACAAGAACACACTTTAAAATAAACACTTATAGCGCTGTTGAAATCATAAAACAGTAAGAACAGGGACAAGGGGATATTACAAAATATTTTTTTTCGCTGAAGCATGGGCAGGTGTCAGACTGAACCTGCTTTAAAATCCTACAAACATGCCCAACACCAATAGAAAACCACCCACATGTCTGATGCCGCCCTGGGGAACCGCCCATATGGTCCACGTATGTGTACTGCAACCTGAATACAATACACGAGCTTTAAATATTAAAGGTGATCAGGTTAGAAAAAGTCAAACCATGGTGAGTGGAAAACATCTAATGATGATGATGATGTTTCTTCCCAGGTCATTAACCAACCTGTTGATGCAGACAGGTGTCAGCAGAGACGCAGCGTTTTTAGACGAGCTGCACCCAGAACGCCCCCACCTCCCCTCCCCCGAACCAGAAACGATCGCTGCTCCGCGGAGGTGCAGAAATCATTTTCGCTCTCCCCCTTTTTATTTTCCCTCCTCCTCTTCCTTCTCTTCCTCCTCTCTCTCCCTCTCAGTTTCCAGAGCCGCCGATCCGACACTTGCAGCCATTTTACGCAGGACGAACCCGATCATGCCGCTGAGGAGGGAAAGCGGGTGAGGAAAGGCTGTGCGGATCACCTGGACGGAGCCAGGAGCCGCAGCGGGAGCGCCAGCCGCGGCTCCCGGCTAGCCAGCAGCAGCAGCAGCGGTACCGGTACCGGTCCGGGGACGACATGGTGAAGAGAAAGAGCCTGGACGAAAACGAGCCGGAATGCGGGAAGGGAGTCCCGTTCCCCATCCAGACCTTCCTCTGGAGGCAGACCAGGTCGGTGGAGGCGGGATAACAGGTGTCTGGTATTGGTTCGGGCTCGGTTCTGGAGGCTGGGTGGAGGGGAGGGGATGGGATTGCATGGTTGATGTAAAGTGCCGCACCTGGAAACGCAAATCCCCCCCCCCCAAAAGTAGGGCAGGCGCAGCTGTGGTGGAGGTAATCTGATTCCAATCATGTTAATGTGCTTTCAGCGCTTTCCTGCGCCCGAAGTTGGGGAAACAGTATGAAGCGTCCTGCGTGGTGAGTCATAATCTGTCTGTTCTTAAGTCGATGCACCTGCAGGCCCGTGCTGCTGTCGGTGGATGGGGCCACCCGGGGGCCCCTCACACAGCAAAGTAAGATGTCTTTAATCCCCGTTCTGTCTCCCCCATCCTCTGTTGCCTCTGGACGCCGGGCCAGTCCTTTGAGCGGGTCCTGGTGGAGAACAAGCTGCACGGCTTGTCTCCGGCGCTGTCCGAGGCCATCCAGAGCATCTCCCGCTGGGAGCTGGTCCAGGCTGCGCTGCCCCACGTCCTGCACTGCACCTCCATCCTGCTGTCCAACAGGAACAAGCTGGGTGAGTCTCCACGGGAACAGAACCTTTCTATTTTTTTTTTTATCAGGACAAACTGAGGTGCAGTAAACTCTTCATTTAGGAGGTATGATTCACACAACCCTTCATGACCTGAACTATCATGAATAACCAGACTCTTTTCCTTCTCCCTCCTCCCCCTTCAGGCCACCAGGACAAGCTGGGAGTGGCGGAGACCAAGCTGCTGCACACGCTGCACTGGATGCTGCTGGATGCTGCACAGGAGTGCAACCAGGAGGCGTTGGGCAACCAGGGCTGGTCCCGGGGCGGCAGCAGCAGCAGCGCCTTCCTCCAGCCGCTGGGGAACCAGGGCTCCTCTCCCGGGACCCCCGGCTCGGGCTCCGGCTCGGGGCCGCAGCACGGCAGCTCCCTGCCGGAGGACGACGAGAGCGCACGGGCGAAGCTGTTCCACAAGAGCATGGCCACCGTGGAGCTGTTCGTGTTCCTGTTCGCGCCGCTCATCCATCGCATCAAGGTGCGTCCCGCTTCACGCCCGGCACCGGAACCCGGGGCGGGGCGAGGGTCTCTCCGGAGTCTAACCGTTGTTTGTCCAGGAGTCGGACCTGACCTTCAGGCTGGCCAGCGGCCTGGTGATCTGGCAGCCCATGTGGGAGCACCGGCAGCCCGACATCCCGGCCTTCACCACCCCGATCAAACCGGTCCGGAACATCGTGACGGGTAAACGCCAGGCCAGCGGCGGTCTGTCCTCATTTGTTCATGATCAGGATCATCACGGGCTCTGTTCTGACCCGCCAGCTAAGAGGAACTCCCCAGTCAACAACCAGTGCAGCCCCCAGGGGTCCGCCAACCAGAGTCCCCTGGTGAGTCAGTATTCAGCTGCTCTGTCACCAGATTCAGCCTGGCGGTTCGGCCCCTCCTGGCTGCTGCCTCTGCCACGTGTCCGCCCTCCTCCTGCTTGTCTTACCTGTCCGTCTACAACCCGCAGGGCTTCCAGGTGGTCTGTGAAGCCGGCCAATCAGATTCCTCCTCCCCTGCAGCAGGTGAGCAGAGCTGTCGCCGTGCCAACTCGGTGGAGAAGGGAGGGACGTCCCAGCAGCCCCCGGCGGCCAAGGGGCCCTCCAAGAAAAAGTGAGCACCTTTACCTTAACCTGAAGCCCAACAGGGTTTAATAATGATGAGCTGAGCTTCATATTAACATCATATTTGATTAATTATGGAAAATTGAGGTGCATTTTATCCATCAAACTGTCTTTTTGTCATGTTTCTCCTTGTGGATCTTGTACTGCTTTAGGATTTCTGTTTTTCTGTCTTACTGATTCAGAGTGTGAGCTGCACACACACTCACTCTGATCCACTCCAATCATATTCTTTCATAAAACATCAAAACAAAACAAATGTTAACGCTGAGATGAGAAGGTTATTTTAATCAGCGTTTTATTTAGATTTTTGACCTGTTCATTTCAAATCCAGACCCTCCACCTGCTTCCCGGGAAAGCAGGTGTTGCCATAGCAACCAGAGACCTCCTACCTCCTCCAGCACGCGCGGCAGCCGTTTGCTAATTTTACACGACGAGGCCTGGAAACGTTACACCAGCAGAGTAACAGTCGGGGAACGTGACCGTGTTGGCGGGGAGTGAAAAATGAGCCCTTCAGGCTCCCGTCCGTCCGATAAACTGCTCAGCTTATATTAATAGCTGTTCTGTCTCATCAGGCAGACACAGAGGCTCTTCTCTCACTGTTCTCACCTCAGCCCACATAACCAGGGTAATGATGCTACAGTAATGTCTGACGCCGGCATCAAACCTGGGGAGACGAAATATTCCCAAATAGTTTCATTTATTTTTATTCCATGTGGGTTTCTTTTTCTTTTTTTTCCCCCCCAAGTCTGTCACATCAGGTTGGATTCATTCCAATCCTGAAAATCCAGATCTTGTTTCTGGGCTTGTGGGGGTCCTGATGTGGCCGTCCTGCAGGACTCAGGTGGGATTAGAGGCTCCGTCTCCGTTTTTCTCCCCGCCCCTCCCCCTCCTCCTCCGCCGCTCTGCGTCCGTTCCTGGCTCGGGCCGATCCACGCCGCTCGCTCCCGTCCCCGCGCCGCCGTCTACACCTCTCGCCGATGCGGAGGCAGTTTCCATGGCGACTCTGGCTGCTGCATCTCCCCTCTCGCGCCGGGGACTGTCGTCACCGGGTCTCCATGGCAACCCGACAACAGCAGAGGAGGGAAGGAGGAGGCAGCGTCCGCTGCTGCTCTCCGCAGATTATCCCGGCCCTCCCTCTGTCCCTCGCTCCCCTTCTTCTGGTTCCCAATATGTTTCTCTGCAGCAAGCGCTGACCTTCATCCAGCTTATTTATAGTGGACTCACGTAGGCCAAGGCTCCGTCCCCCCCCTCCCGTCCTCCTGCTGCTGCCCAGAGGATGCTGAAGGCGGGTTTTGCCCTTGTTCTCTCATCTCTGATGGATTATTAATGAGGCATTGTGGCAGGAGGAGTGGACAGCAGGACTCTTGTTATTATCCCCGTTGACTGAGCAGATTTCTAGATTAAAGACTTGAAGAGAAACGGAGCAGCAGAACGCGGGTCCGGACAGCAGGAGGCGAGTCATGCATCGTCCGGTTAACTCCATCTCCAAACGGAACTCTTGTCTCCCAAAATATCCCCTGCCACGCAGGCCAGTGAAAAACAAATGTTAACGCTGAGATGTTAACATTTCAGCGTTAACAGATCAGGATGTCAGATCTTTCTCAGCTCTGAGAAAGATCATCCTATCTTTCTCAGAGCTGTCAGCTTCCCCCTCGGTCTCGTTTTGACCAGATTCGCCCCATTGACTGGCTGTGATCGCTGCAAAGTGCTCTCGATGGTCCGGGTCGGTTGGTGGAGTCTGAACACAGAGTCAAACTCTAAAGTGAACTCTGGTCCTCCAGACCTCAGTCTTGGTTTGGTTGAAATGAAGCCCGGTGCATTTTTAATGCGTATGTGAAAACTCAGCAGACCAGAGTCTGCTCCAAAAACACGAAGCAAGCAAACGCAGAGAGAAATAAAACCGCAGCAGCTGGAAATGGAACAAATGTTTCAGTTTTGGTCCTAATTGAACCGAGTCTCCTGGGAACGGCAATGATTATGAAACTGTGGTGATTTAGGAACAAAATGGTCTTTGATTTCATTGCTTTCTTTATGACTCTGCAGCCAGACTGGAGGCTTTGAGGTCTCTTCTCTAACGACTCAGCCGGTCTCAGATATAATGATATTGATCTGACCAAGCCTGTGGTTGCAGCAGCTGTTAAGTCTCCTGGTTCCTCCAGGACGTCAGCTCCTGCCGGACTGCCGGCGTCTCTGGCGCACCGCGCCCGCTACGCCACCTACTTTGACGTGGCGGTGCTGCGCTGCCTGCTGCAGCCCCACTGGACGGAGGAGGGCGTGCACTGGGCCCTGATGTACTACCTGCAGCGCCTGAGGCACATCATGGAGGAGAGACCGGAACGCAACCCGGAACCCCTGGTCGTCCCGCTGCCCCGGCCTCGCAGCAGCTCCATGGTGGCTGCCACACCCTCGCTGGTCAACACCCACAAGACCCAGGTAGCAGCGGCAGCTACTCACCGTCATCATATATAACAGCAGCTCCACTGACTGAGGCTTTGCTTTGCTCTACAGGACATGAGTCTGAAGTGCAACGAAGAGGGCAAGTCTCTGAGCACTGAGACCTTTGCCAAGGTTTCCCTCACCAACCTGCGGCGACAGGCCGTCCCAGACCTGTCCTCTGACCTGGGCATGAACATTTTCAAGAAGGTCAGTGCCCCAGTGTGACCCTACAGCGGGGTTCTTTACACTAAAGACGTCTGGCTCTGCTGCAGTTCAAGAACCGGCGGGAGGACCGGGAGAGGAAGGGCTCCATTCCCTTTCATCACGCCGGGAAGAAGCGGCAGCGGCGCATGGGCGTCCCCTTCCTGCTGCACGACGACCACCTGGACGTCTCGCCCACACGCAGCACCTTCTCCTTCGGAAGCTTCTCGGGCCTGGGCGACGAGCGGCGGGCTCTGGACCGCGGCGGCTGGCAGGCCACAATCATGGGTAGGTGACGACGCTGCTGACCTCCAGTCGCATCCTAAGACGGAACGTTTAACACTCAAGTCATTTAAGTAATCTAAAGTCAGAGCTGAAAGGAAAAGAGATGAAACGATTCAAACTAGAAGGTTTTCAACATTGCTGGCTTGTGACAGCAGAGAAGGTGACGTAGCGATGTTTGTGAGCTGCAGTCACACAGATTGAGATTTTCCAGCTCATCAAGCCTCCGGCAGCATCTGCTGTTCAGGTTTTTCTTCAAAAACGCCGCGTGAATCCCCTGGCATTTCCATTCCTTTCCAGGTAAATTCACACGCAGAGGCAGCACGGACACAGCTGCCGACGCCGACAGCCTGAGCGCCAAGCACTCCCACTCCCACCACTCTCTGCTCAGAGACATGCCCGACCACTCCAACAGCCACAGCGACAACACGGTGAAGGAAGGTGAGCCGGGGACAGCGGGGCCAAACGGGCCGGAGCCAAAGGCGGAAGCCGTGAATAAACATGCGAAGGTTTATTAGGAAAGAGAGTCCAGGAGCCGTGTCGTTTCACCGTTAATTAGATCCGCCAGAAGACGGCGGATGTTTCCGTCTCTGCCGGGTTACGTAACGCAGTCATTATTGAGACAAACACACACAGATAACAGGCCTGGTTTTATAACAGGCCTCTGAACCTGAATCCGAAGCGGAAAACAACCTCACTAATCGGTTTATATTTATTGACAAGAATCACTTATCTTGGTTGTTTTTGTTTCAACATTTTACCAGCACGATTATTTTTTGTGAGATTTGATGACTTTGATTGAAAAGGAAAATAAATATAAGGAAAGAGTTTTAATGGACTAAGTGGAAATAAATGCTTCTGTAGCTCTCAAAAATAGCACATAAATATCAATAGATATTCCAATAACTGTCTCTAACTGGTAATTATTAAAAATCAAGGAGGGGGGAAATTCAGTCGAAGAAAAACTTTTTTGGGGATGAGATGCTTCATGAATCACTGAACTGTTTTTGTGAAGTGCGATCTCAGATCTCCACCATCACCATGGCGGCGTTCAACACCACGGTGGCCTCCTTCAACGTGGGCTACGCCGACTTCTTCACCGAGCACATGAAGAGGCTGTGCAACCCCTCCGCCGCGCCCGAAATCCCCGTGGAGCCACTGGCCTGCTCCAACCTGCCCCGCAGCCTCACCGACTCCTGCATCAACTACTCCTGCCTGGAAGAGGGCGAGAACATCGAGGGTACCAACAACTTTGTGCTGAAGAACGGCATGCTGGACCTAACGGTGGGGAAACTAGTCGGGTCCCCGGACGCATCTCCTGGTAGCCCCGTCCGGTGGCGTAACACGCTTTCCCTTTTCCCGCACCAGGCCGTGCTGCGGGCGCTCTACGCCGTTCTCGCCCACGACATCAGCTCCAGGATCTGCGACGTGGCGCTCAACATCATCGACTGCCTGCTGCAGCTGGGCATCGTCCCTGGCATGGGCAAGAAGCTGTCCAAGCCGGACAACAAGGAGAACCAGGAGGCCCGGGCCAAAGAGCCGGCCGGCCAGAGCCTGGCAGGCGGCGCCCAGGGCGGTGGCCCGCTTCCAGGAGCCAGTGGGGGTGGAGATGGAGATGGAGGGGGGGGGAGCGGCGGAGGCAGCGGACAGGGGAGCAAGGATGACGTGAAGAATAACAAAGAGAATGACAAGAAGGTGAGTTCAGAGTTTATTCTCTAGATTTTAATGTCAAACACTTTCAGAGGATTATAAGCCTGGCGGGCCACCAGGCTTTACTTTCCAGATTTTATTTTATTCATTTTATCTTTCCCTTTTTTTTTTTAAGACTTTATGGTTGGTGTTTAGGTATTGTCAATAATGTCTTCTAATAATGCATGATTACACTGCAAAAACATAAAATCTTGTCAAATGTTTTTTGTCCAGTTTCTAGTGCAATTATCTCAGCTCGCTTCATATAAGAAAAACAAAGCTACTTCTAAGTTATTTTGAGTGTATTAAGGAACTGAACAAAAATATTTGGTAAGATTATGTGGTTTTGCAGTGCACCTGGGGGTATTTTCAATTTTCCTGTCTACTTTGAATGTCTTCCAACTCAAAAACCCGGAAGGGCGCTGGGTGACTGGCTTAGCGAGTTTTCTGTGAGAAAGCCTGACTTTCTTTTCTTCTTCATCAGGAGGAAGAGGGTTGTGGTTTCAGCACCCACCGCCTGGCTCTCACTATGCTGATCAAGATAGTCAAGTCTCTGGGATGCGCTTATGGCTGCGGGGAGGGCCACCGAGGACTGTCAGGAGACCGCCTCAGGATGCAGGTTGGACGCTTGATCTCAGCAGATTGTTTCCCTATGAACATGGAGAACACGCCATGCTTGATATTGCATATTTTATCTTTCATTGCAGGCCCAGAATTGCCTGACTAATCTGTGTAAGCTGGACAAAGTGCAATTTCGCCAAACAATGCGCGAGTATGTCAACAAAGACTCCCTCAATAACATTGTGGACTTCCTGCACGCACTGCTGGGCTTCTGCATGGAGCCCATTACTGACAGTAAGTATGTGGAGTATCTGAGTGGGATGCAAGCCGTCAAAACGTTTGCATCAGCCTTGATTCCAGATGCAGAAACTGGATGAAATTGAGCAGCACAAATATTAGTGCGGCATTATTTTTCCACGATTGAACACGTATGCAGGATTTGCTGCAAAAAAGTCAGGAATGAAAACATGCTTGCATGTTACCATGCTGCATTTCAGCTGGCGTGACATCAGGCCAGCACATTAGTCTGCTAACTTGTTAGCACCAAAAAAAACAACAAAAATACAAAGTATTTTCATTCACATTCAACTTTTCAAGAGCTAATTATTAAGATTAATTAGCAAGGTATAAAAACATGCAGATGTAAGTATATTAATTTGATGCAGAAAACACATTTAGACAAATATGATAATGCTAGGGCTTAGGCGGACATTAGCTTTTGAGAAAATTAAGCTAAGGAATAAAAATTTCCCACAAATGGTTTTTTAAAGTAAAGTGTGGAACAACAAACAATGTTATTAAAATATGGCGATAAGCATATATCCTATTTTTATTTTGGTCAAGTTTAACATAATAATATTGTAGAAATGCTAATATTAGCATAAACCCAAAGTGACCAACATAAAGTTTGTGAAAATGTTCCAAACTTGGACATTAAAGATGTTTACAGCACAACATAATATGGCATATTAGAGCGTGTTAAGGGTTTCTGAAAAAAATAAAAAATAAAAATACAACGCTGCATTAGCAAACGGCAACAGTGTACAAAGCTTGGGGCCATTAGCTTGTCTCTGGAACAAAAGACGTGGCTAACGGCTAAACCACCATTAAAAATAATCATAGCTTGTACATTGTTTTTTTTATGAACAAAAATATTTTTACTTTTTAACAAAAAGTAACAATTATCATACTACTCCGATAGATAAAATTGCTGGTAATATTAAGGTTTGTAAAGTTTGAAACAAGAATTATCTCAAGGTATTTCATGTAAACATGAAAGTCTTTCCTGAAGATTCAGAAAAAAGGAGACCACTCTGCCAGATTTTTCGTATTACGCCAAAGTAGCATGTAAGCTAAACTGGTCTTAGCTTACAGGCTAAGGCCAGCATGTAACAGTGATGTCTTAGCATGTAAGCTAAGACCAGTTTCTGGAAGGCAGATTACCCTAGAAGTAATAGAACAGTGATGAAATTAGTATGTGTCCCTTTAAAAGGGCCTCAATAACAGCTAGCATACTAGGAGTGAACAAAGCTAAATGTTTGACCCTGCTGTCCTGCCCTGCACCTTGACTTTGCATTCCAACCCTACCTGTGTGTGTGTGTGGGTGTGTGTGTGTGCGTGTGTGTGTGTATCTGTCTTCCCCTTCTCCTCCATCCATTTGTCTTTGCTCGTCGTGTTTTTGACGTTTCCCCCGCTTACTTTTTCTTCATCCACTTCAACGAGCCAAATCCTGACTTCCTTACTCGCTCATCCATTCTGTACACTTGCCAATTGGAAGCTTCTCCCATTGCACTGCTGCTGTGACGGTGGCTACCAGACACATTGAACATGCCAGTTTTCCAGTTTCGCGCTGAAATTTTCAAGTATTTTGTACATGGTACTGTCATTTCGTGCAAAATACTCAGTTGGCAAGTTGCTGAAGCAATGAGTGTTTTATTGATGGAAAATGACCAAGGGCACTTTGTTCATTTTTTTTTTCTCTGTGTGTGTGTGTTTTACTTTTGACTTGTGTGCATCTTGGGGTCACCTCCTGGTGGAGGTGGGGTGCCACGTCCTTTCTGAGAGCACCTTACATGTCTGTGCTGGCCTGATGTCAATCAACCTGTGCCCCGCCTCTTTTCTCTTGCAGAGTACGGCAGTGCAGGTGAGAGGTCCAGGAGGGCGAAAAAAAGAAACATCGGTAGATACACACGATTAATGATTAACAAGTCAATAACATAAGCAATAAGATGACTTTACTCACCCAATCAGACCCTCCCCTAGACACTGCTTTCATCGCTGCACCCCTCACTCTGTCCGAAAGTGACAAACTCGCCTGCAACTCCTAAACTTACACCTGTGTGTGTTGAATCTGGCTTTGTTTTTTTTTGCAGTTTCATCTAACTGGACCCAGACAATAAGCCCCCTACTCTGTTTAAAGCAGGCCTTAGTCACTTGCATGTATCCCCTACCCAGAATCCTTTTGATTTTGCTTCTCCCCCATATGCTTTACGAACCCCTTTCCTTTGCCCCTTGCCTCCTTTCTGTTGTATGGGCTCACTACTCTAGCTGGTCAGTATTGTCCCCCTCCCACTTCCATCCCGCCGACTGAACGGACTCCTGTATCATCCCCCATCTCTCCTGCCTTCCTGCTGCTTCCAGACAAGGCGGGCTTCGGCAACAACTTTGCCACGGGGGACAACAAGTCGCTGGCGCAGAACATGGAGGCGGTGGTGGTGGGCTGCATGTTCAAGTCCCTCATCACCCGCTGTGCTTCAACCACGCACGAGCTGCACAGCCCAGAAAACCTGGTGAGTTTCGAGCATCGCCTTGTCAAAAGACCAAGGTCAAATTACAGTTTAAGCTTCATTTGTTATTTGGTGGTACAGCAGAATATTTGATGTGGAGAAATTCCAACCAGCATTTGACCAACTGTTCATCCGAGAACAAAATGTAAATAGTTTCTTCAGAATTAAAAATATCAGCGGAAGATTGCCATTTTTTTTTGTCACCTGATGTCCCTGATGTCCCTTTAGCTAGTCTTCCCTAACATGCTAACATTAACTAAGAGGCAAACATTACAACATTAGCTCAAATTGGCTCTTTAGCAATAATGACAGGCCAGGATCATTCGCACACGAATCTCACTCTTGTGTTGCCTTCGCAGGGTCTGTACTGCGACATCCGCCAGCTGGTTCAGTTTATAAAAGAGGCCCATGGAAACGTGTTCCGCAGGGTGGCGCTGAGCGCGCTCCTGGACAGCGCCGAGAAGGTGACTGCCACCAAAAAACCCGACGAGAAGGACGACGGAAAACAGTTCGGACCGAGAAGGTAGTGTCCAGTCTCTGGCTGGAGTCATTCTGAGAGTCGTGGTGTTTTCTCTAATCACTGCTCTCTTGCCTGTAAATGTAAGCAAACCTCTGTGTATCCAATCACAGTGACCGTTTCTCATCACTGCTTGGTTATTTTTCCTCATGTCTTGTCACCATCTTGTCTGAGTGAATGATTTGATGCTGTCATTCTCAAAGTAATGTGGCTCAACACTTGAGAAAATCCTCTTTGCTTGACACATTACCGGATTACACCAGCAGCGTCACGTAAATACAGCATGAGGAATACTCATTTCGTGGTAACAATTTGTCATACGCTGTCCTGAAGTGCAATAAGATAAACTTAAAAAGACAAGAAAAAGTGACTCTAAAGTGAAGTTAAAACTATGGCCTGTGTAATGTCCCCTGCGTTCCAGAGGTAAGCCAACACTACTCCTCCAAGATGAGGTGTTCATGGTCATCCTAATCTTGAGTATGTGATCCCCATCTCATAACCCAAAGAACGAAAGCATTGCCTACTTTGCTCAACGTTTTGGACACCATGACAGACCCAAAGGTGTTTGTCCGTTTGACCCAGAGGGGACAGTCCACCTCCCTCTGATGCGGAACATGGTTTCAACCTTGAAGGGGCTTTCTCTCGTGGTTCCCATTTGGCTGCAAACTATTCCAGCTTTGGCTTGAAGACACCAACATAATCACATCCTCAATCACAGGCTGTTTTGGGGGAGATATGCCACGATTTTGATATGATAAAAAAAAAACTTAGTCAGAAACTGGTGGAAAGATTGCAAAATGTTGAAAATGCTCAAGGATTGTCTTGCTCAACGTCTGAGGATTACGGCAACAGAAGAAGAAATGCCTCTGCTCAGAGCTGGAAAACCTCTCTGAGCCTCATGGAAGAATGTGCCACGGTTTGTCCAAACCAAGGCTGAACTTTTGGGAGAAGCAACAACAGCGAACCTCTTCAAATTTAATGTTCAATCTGAAGAGAAATCTAGTGGCGGTACCATCATGGTGTAGCTGCTGCAGCAGAAACCTGGCTTTACGTAAAGTCCTACCAAACTGTTGGCATCTGAGGCCCAGTTCCGCTCCATTCTGCGGTTGCTTGTCCTGACCTGCTCCTCGCTGCATCAAATGAACTCATTTGGCGCCGTACTCAAGTGGGCTGTGTTGGTATGTGTGTGTGCGTGCAGGTCTGAGGCGGGTGTGTCCGGGGAGAAGGGTCAGGTGTCCAGTGCTGCAGATGAGTGTCGCAGCTGCATCTCCAGTAGACCCCCCCAGACCCCCGAACAGTGAGTGTCCAGATCACAGCATCCCCATGACACATCAGCTCTGTTGATCCCAGCTGCCATTCCAAACTGTCCGTGCTCCCCTTCGTGTGATCTCTCGACGTTGACGTTTTGGTGCGCAAGTATTCACACCCTCCCCCCTTCGCCGCCTTTCCTCTTTGTGCCCGCTAGCGACGAACAGATCCCGGGCGCTCTGCTTGGCAGGAAGGACTTCTGGAGGAAGATGTTTAAGTCGCAGAGCGCCGCCAGCGACACCAGCAGCCAGTCGGAGCAGGACACCTCGGAGTGTACCACCGCGCACTCCGGTACCACCACCGACCGACGCTCCCGATCCAGATCCCGGCGCATCTCGCTGCGCAAGAAACTCAAACTCCCGATCGGTGAGTCTAATCAATCTACAACCATCTCTTGAACAGCTCAGTTTCATCTTGCAGCTAATGACCAAGTCTTCTTCGTTTCCATGACCATATCTCAATCTGGTATATGTGCTTTGTGTCCAACGTTTGTTCATCCTGAGAGGTCGGGTCACTTCATCTCTTCGATCTGTTTTGTGTCCCTCTGTGTGCCTCAGCATGCCGTAGGACCGCCCGCCTCCCCATCACTCGCTCTGTCCTACGTATGTGGACGCGGATCCATCCTCTGATCCATCCTCATGCAATGTTTTCCCCGTCTCTTTGTCCCGTTTGTCTGTCTTTGTCTGTGTCCCGTGTGTGCACGCTGCTTCATTTTTGTCAACTTTATGTCTTATGCAATGGGCTTCGGTGCAGAACACCACTGATTATTAGCAAAAGTTTCCTCTTCAAAAGACCTAATTTAAGTAAATTCATGTTTCCAGTTCAAACTCTGTGTGTAAATCTGTTTCCTGTCTGCTGGACCCTGCATGCTCCTTTGCATTAAGCTGAAAGTGTTTGATAAAGTTTGTTTTAGTCGCTTTATTGTCCCGATTGGTCCAGGAAACTGGCTGAAGCGCTCCTCCCTGTCTGGCCTCACCGACGGCGTGGAGGACCTGCTGGACATCAGCTCTGTTGACCGGCTGTCCTTCATCCGTCAGAGTTCAAAGGTCAGCCTCCTGGAGGAGACCCGAGCTCCAGGAGGAGCGCACGTCGTAACATGTTTCACGTTTCAGGTGAAGTTCACGAGCGCGGTGAAGCTGTCCGAAGCGGGCGCCGCCGGGCCGGAGTACGGCAGGGACGAGGAGGAGAATTTCTTCAAGCGGCTCGGTAAATGGAGGTCTGGCAGGAGGAATCCATCCAAGCTTCACCACACAGAAGAGAAAGATGGTAGACCTCCCCCATCCTGGGGTGTCCCACGCTCCATCCCGCTTTTGTCTCTGCGCGCTCTCTCTGTCCTGTCTCAGTGGTGTCCTGTCTCGTCCTGTCTTTGGCCATCCGTCGTCCCGTGTCTCAGCCTATCAATGTTGAGATCATGTCTGTAAGGCGTTTTGCGACAAAAAGTTTCCAGAAGGTTGTGAACGACAAAACAATAATAATGGGGGCACAAGATATGAACTGACCTGCATTGGGTCCATTTAAAATAGCTTGAATAACTCAAACTATTTGTATGTTAATAGTTTGAGTTTGAAAAATATGGGCCGGAAATATGAGCCCACTCGGCTCATCCCAACATATGGGATTAGTTGTGGTTTCCCAAATGACCTTCCTTGTAAGTTTAATGAAATGTGGATTATGGTCATGTCTGGGAACAAAACACAACCTGCCTGTGTCCAATAATCAGTTGCATATGAAAGGGGGCCCATCTGGGAAATAGAGAGAACATCCATTAAATAAAGAAACCTGGATGTAGATAGATATGGCAGTTAGCTACTGGGCTACATGTGAAGCCAAGATGGCTTGGAAAAGGTCTAAAAACATCGGAAGTTTCCAAAAAGTTTTGTTTTTGTTTAATATCTGATGCATATCATACAAAATACTGGTTATCAGCTGTAAATGTTTTTTTTTTCTAAATGTCTAAAAATTATTGAGTGCATTAAGTGTTTTTGACTTTTTGAAACTTTTTGTGCAAAACCACAACGCTCAGGCGCGACTCCTTCCACAACAGACCGTCCTTTTAAACCCCAAGATGACCCAGAACCTGAGTGTAATTTGTCCGAAGCGCCTTTTGTTGTTTCCTCCCGGTGAACCTGGACATTGTCTCTAATAAATCATCTGTTGGAGAGCATCTCCACGCCAGCTGTAGCATGACGCTGCCGGTGCTCCCTCTGTCTCTTCTGTGGTGACGTTGTGGTGGTATTTTCCAGCTCGTAGCGAAACGACAGTATCGTCTGCATACAGCTTTATCTCTGTGGGGCTGCGCTCACACTTGATCTGCCGTCGAAGGTGTTTTCTCTGCGTCATTTGGCAGCAAGTTGAAGCAGAACAGGAGATGGAGTTCACGTGTCAGCTCAGCCCGTGGCTGTTTTCTCTCGCTCATGTTTTCATTCGTGCTCAATGTGCTGGAAGGCCACGTTACTTCTTACAAAGTGAGACCTTTGATGCAGTTTTCCTGTGAAACACGACCTGCTGTTCCAGCACCTTCCGTCTGCGCCTCGTTCTCCAGGCCCTCATGGTTTCCAGGAACGCTTGGCGGCCAGTCAGGAGGCCATGAAGAACAAGAACGTGGTCAACCTGGGCGCCATCCGGCAGGGCATGAAGCGCTTTCAGTTCCTCCTCAACTGCTGCGAGCCGGGAACCATTCCTGACGCCTCCATCCTTGCCGCCGCTCTAGACTTGGTACAAGCTTCTCTGAAAATAGTCCAGATTAAGACTATTGGACACCCAACACTGGTTTTTCTGTCAAAGGAAGTTATATCCATTAAAAGCCAACTTCTGACAAGAATACTGATCGGCCGCCACTGGAAAATGCCTATGCTACCTTCAGGAAACTCTCAAGGAAAATATAATATATGTCATACATTCTATAATCCAACATTACATCAAGTGTAAACTTACTGTATGCTGATCTTGGCTTCTCATTAACACTTCCGATTCAGCAGATGGCTAAAGGGCGATTCAACCTCAGTTTTTACTACTTTCCGCATCTTTAATTTGCTTTTATTTCAAATCTTTAATGCATAGACTGCTCAAACATTTACAAGATCACTTTACACTGAAAGCAGATTAGTTAAAAACCTAGTCTGTGACTAGTTAAACTTTCATTTTATTTGTTTTATTGAGCTTTTGTGTATCCATTCAACAGATATAGCAATCCAAGATCCTAAATTTGGTGTTTATTAACTTCGATATGAATTATTATATTAGCCAAACATTATGGTAAGAATGAGTTCAATTTGTTTTATAAGTCCTTATTTTTTGTGAAATCAAAAAAAGAAGTCAACAATAACTAGTAGTCTCCTCATTTGCCAGCGGCGGCTGCTCAGTTCCTGATGCCGGCCTATCATTAATAAGATCTGGAGTAACAAAATCAAGACTACTTAGTTAAAAAAGAAATAAATCCAAGCGAGACCGGATCCGTTTAATCACTATTTAATGTTTCTCTGCTGTTAGGAGGCTCCAGTCGTGGCCCGCGCTTCCCTGTTCCTGGAGTGCGCCAGGTTCGTCCACCGCTGCAACCGTGGCAACTGGCCGGAGTGGATGAAGGGCCACCATGTCAACATCACCAAGAAGGGCCTGTCCAGGGGCCGCTCGCCAATAGTGGGCAACAAGAGGAACCAGAAGCTGCAGTGGAACGCTGCCAAGCATTTCTGCCAGTGGGGAGATGTGAGTTAAACGGGATCAAACCGAGCGGCTGGTCCGTCTGTCCGCCTCCTCTAACTGTGTCTGTCTGCGCAGGCCATCGGCACCAGGCTCAGTGAGCTCTGTCACTCGGACAGCGAGAGCCCCGCCAACATCCTGGGCTACGTCTACGACGAAGAGACCAAACGCAGGATGAGGAAGGAAGATGAGGAGGAGGACTACTTAGAGGACAGTGAGTCACTACCTTAAAGAAACAGCCAGAGTATGTTTCTAGTCTTTGTCTGTAAACTTTTAAGCCAGTTAATGTAAGAGACGAAACTGGAACTTGACCAAAAGTCATATTTGACATATGTGGTATATTTATAACAACTGAACTGAATATAGTTAAAGGATTGGGCTATAAAATGTCACTAGGTGCCTGGAAAATACATAATCCAGCCCCTTTAATTCAAAAGGTTTGAGTTTTGAGCATTTTTTAGTTTGACCACCAGATGGCAGCAACTGTCTCTAACTGCCCCTTTAAAAGTTTTTCCAGTGCTGGTCACCTGATATGAGATGAGACGATCCGGCCTCACCATAAAAACAACACATCTTCATTTTCTTCATAACCTTTTGACCTCAGGAGGTCAAGCGTTTAGGTTTTAAATATGGCCAGATTAGAGGTTTTATGTGTTTGTTGTGGCTCTAGGTCTTTCTCTCTTCTGATGGACTCTGGTTTATTTGTTGACCATGGCTTTTGTCTCATCAGACACGGTGAACCCAACAAAGTGTGGCTGCCCTTTTGCCCTGAAGATGGCCGCCTGCCAGCTGCTGCTAGAGATCACCACCTTCCTGCGGGAGACGTTCCCCTGCTTGCCTCGCCCTCGGACCGAGCCGCTGGTGGTCAGTCATGAGCCTCTTCTCTTAATGTTTCCTGTGTCGGCACCTGAGACTGTACTGATACGTCAGCGCGGTGCGTTTCAGGACCTGGACAGCTGCCGGCTGCGCCTGGACCCGGATCTGGGCCGCCATCGCTACGAGAGGAAGATCAGCTTCGCCGGCATCCTGGACGACGAGGACGGTCACGACTCCCTGAACAGCAGCAGCCACACGCTGAAGTCTGACACCACGGGGGAGGAGAAGAAGCCCCAGGAGGCTCAGGGTGAGCCACGGGTCGGCGGAACCTTCCCTCCCCAGGCTTCCTGCAGACTGTTTTAATATCGCCGCTGCTCCTGTCGCTCCCCAGCTCCTATCAGGAAGATCCGCATCGGAGGCTCCCGGCTGCTGCAGATCAAAGGCGCCCGCAGCTTCCGTGTGAAGAAGGGCGGCTCGCTGTCTTCCATCCGCCGGGCGGGGAGCCTGAAGAGCACCAAGCTGTCCCGGCAGGACTCCGAGTCCGAGAACGAGGAGGGGCTGCTTTCCCAGACGCAGAGCAGGGACACTGTCACCGACATCGGTGAGCCGGGGCCAAACGACGCCTTGGTCCTGATCCCAACTGTTACATTTCTGTGTCAATTTCAACCTTGGAAGCTGATAATAAAGAGGAAACATCTCTTGAAGTTTTATTGCGTGGTCATGTTGATGTTGCAGGAAGTCCCTTCAGCACCAGCGAGCCCAGCATCGAGCCTGAGGGCCAGGGCTCAGGAGGAGCCGAAGACAACTACCACCGCAACATGTCCTGGCTCCACGTACGTCCATCAGCCTGAGCCGCTGCTCCGCCACCTCGTCCTCCAGACGCTCTGATCTTTCTTCGTGTCTCCGTCCAGATTATGATCCTGCTGTGCAACCAGCAGAGCTTCATCTGCACACACATCGACTTCTGCCACCCGCGCTGCTACCAGCACCACGGCCGCTCCTGCGCCCGCCTGGTCCGCGCCATCAAGCTGGTCTACGGGGAGTCGGTGGACAGCCTGAGGGAGGACAGCGCCTCCGGCAACATCGGGGGACGCTCAAAGAAGAGCAAGGAGGTAAGCGAGGAGAGCCGTTAAAGGGAAACGGAGTCTGGGGTTTTTAAAGCCGTTCTTTCGCCCTTCAGTGTTCGGATAAATCCTGCCTGAGAACTCCGTCCATGAAGAGGAAGCCGACCGACTCCAATGCAGAAGGGAAGAAAGACACCGGGATGCTCAAGTACATCCGCAACCAGGTCAGCTGCTTTCCTCAGTCCAAGGTTTAGTTGAGGACAATTTATGACATAAAAGTTTGGATTTAATATGTCCAAATCCAGAGGTGGGCACTAATACTAAAGCGCTAATCATAGGGATTCTTCACCAAGTCTGTTGGTAAAAAAGGAAGACGACCATGAATCAGTGGATTTGCTTCTTTTCAGGTGATGAGTTTGTCCCCAGCTCCTCTGTCGCTGCTGATCAAGGCTGCCCCCATCCTCACCGACGACATGTACGCAGACATCCATCCCGCCGCCTGGGAGCTGCTGCTCAGCGTGGACGAACACATGGCAGCCGCCGCCGGTACGTCCCTACACAACTAAGATTTAAGGGCTTATTCTTTTGGATTTCCATCACAATGAGGTTCTGTTCACCTAATAACAACATTTCCCAACGATTTCCACCCGCTCCTCGCCTCCACCCCCTCGGATCACCTCCAGCCGCCATGTTTCTCCTTTGCGCCGTCAAAGTCCCCGACGCCGTGACCGAGATGATGATGGCGGAGTTCCAGCACCAGGAGGCCTGTCAGCGCATCAACTCCATTTTGAAGTTCTACACTCTGTGGCGTTTCCGCTACCAGGTGTGGCCGCGCATGGAGGAGGGAGCCCAGCAGATCTTCAAGGTACGGAACAACACTGAGCAAAATTGCCGTTGCTCAGCTTTAGGAAGTGCTTCGTTACCGTAACCTGTTCTCCATCCGCCAGATCCCTCCGCCCAGCATCAACTTCACCCTGCCGTCCCCTATCCTGGGCATGCCCTGCGTCCCCATCTTCGACCCGCCCTGGGTGCCGCAGACCACCGGCAGCGTCCAGGACCCCATAAACGAAGACCAGTCTGTACGCACAAAGGGGTTACTCTCAATCCTTTAACACTATTTTAACCAAACTCTCTTTGATTCTGATGACGACCTGCCAGCACAAATCATATACTATAATTTTGATCTATGAACTGTCTTTGTTTTTAGTTCCCCACATTAATTCAGTCAGTCCATACCATAGTAAGTTGGTATCTCTGTCCGAGTGTTTGCGCTGATGCATCTTGTGAAGTCAGATCGAGGATAGTCATGAGGGGAGGCGGTCCCGATCTCGTGCTGCATCTTTCATCATTTGGGGGAAAAAAAAAAGTCTTCCAGCACTTGCTTTGACTGCGAGAGGAGTGAAAAAAAGACAGCATGCATCAGGCGTACCGACTGTTGACCTTTGTGCTGTTCGTGCATGCTCCATCGACTGAGAATGGCTGAATGTTGACCGTTCCATGTGTTGAGAGGACCGTACTTAGATACACATAAGCATTTTGAAGGACACAGTAACTTTCTCCCAGTTTCAGCCTCTGAACCTGATCAGAGATGCTCTCATGTTGATGGTTAGTCCACAACTGGACTAACCAGTACCGTCAGGGGGAGTCGGTGGGGGGGTAGAGCGAGGACGAGCATCACTTCTTCAAAGTATTTTTACTCAAGTAGAAGTATGAAATGGACAAAACGAAAGTGTTATGAGCAAATTCTGGTATTTTAAGCAAAAATACCAAATCTTAAGCAGAAAAAAAAAACGCTTCTAAATCAGTGTATTTCAATTTATTACCAAAGTTTATAGTAGTGTGTGAATATATATATCTTTGAACAAAGTTAAAAAAAAAAAGACCTGTGCTGTTTGTTGTATCATCACTTGACCTCAAAATGCTACAACAGATTTAACGCACCGAACGTAGCAAAGACTTTGTAGAAACAAGAGGTCTCACTTTGCCAGACTTTGGTCTAAGCACGTTTGTTCTTTATTCTAACAGGGTGGAGTATCCAGAAAATCGCAATACTTCACAATAAAAGTTCTCAAGTGAAAGTAAAAAGTACGGTGAAGCTCACCAAATGTAGTTTTCGTCCCAAAGTATCTCTCAAGTAAATGTAATCACTAGTTACTATCCACCTCTGGCTACTTGTACTGAGAAATTAACACTGATCACAGCATCCTTAATGTTACACATGACGGTGGCAGCATCATGCTGTGGGGATGCTTTTCTTTGGGAGGGAGGGGAAGACGGATGAAAAGGTGATCAGTTTTCAAACTATAGCATTATCTATTTAGTCTCAATATTGATATTCAAGATGGTTCATATTCAGGCGTTTTATGCAGCTCGCTGTTTAGCTGCGATACGTTCAGTGACTGTGAGGTGAGAAAAGATTTTAAAGCACCTCCAGCTGGGAACGCTTGAACAATTGGCTTGAACTCTTGACCCTGGGTGTTCAAAGGAGCTCGCTGGAGGAAAGTTACTGTTCTGTCGCTGAGACCGAGAAAGTTCTCCTGAAGACAGCCACTTTCACCTTCCTGGGTGGGAGGTGTGAACGCTCTCTGGCCCCTCTCTCCTGCGTTTAGAAATCCTTCTCTGCTCGGGCCGTGTCGCGCTCCCACCAGCGGGCCGAGCACATCCTGAAGAACCTGCAGCAGGAAGAGGAGAAGCGGCGGCTGGGCCGCGAGGCCAGCATCATCACGGCCATCCCTGTGGCCCAGGAGGCCTGCTACGAGCCCACCTGCAGCCCCCCGCCGGAGCAGGAGGAGGAAGGTGGGGGCCGCCGGCATCGCCCAGCGCACCTCCCCGGCCGCGTTCCGCTCTCTGACGGCCTGCCGTTTCTCTCCTTGGTACCGCCAGCAGAAGAAGTGGTGAACCTGGCATCCCGCCGCCTCTCCGTAAGCCCGTCCTGCGCCTCCAGCAACTCCCACAGGAACTACTCCTTCCGCCGAGGCTCCGTCTGGTCTGTCCGCTCCATGGCCAGCGCCGAAGGTAGAGAAACGCCACACCACAGGGTTGTAAAGTCACGATGAGCTCGAGTGTTTTCAAATTGAACATGAGCGCAAAGCAGTAGGTGTACAAAAGCCGTGTTCTAACTTTCACTGGTGTGTTGTTTTGAAGATGAAGAAAACACAACAGATCACACTCCCACACACCACATGCTTCAGCCTCCTCAAGCTGTCTTCCCAGCATGCATCTGTGCTGCAGTCTTACCAATAGTCCACCTCATGGAAGATGGAGAAGTCAGAGAGGACGGTGTGGCTGGTAGGTTTAAAAAAAAAAAAGATCCGAATTTATGATTTTCCCAACACAAAACGACTATATTGCACCTCTAACTCTAGAGAAGCAACCTGCTTATTAACAAAGTGTTTATTTCGAAGGCCCTAATTTGAAGAACTGAGCGTTGACTCGCCTCTTGCTGCTGCTTTCAGTGAGTGCTGTCGCACAGCAGATCCTCTGGAACTGCCTCATTGAAGATCCCGCTCTGGTTCTCCGCCACTTCCTGGAAAAACTCACCGTGAGCAACAGACAGGTGGGAGAGCTGTTTGAAGACGCGATCTTCTGATTTTTAAGCAGAAATAAAAGGTTTTCATGACGTAAACGCAGCAACAACAACAACAAAAAAAAAAGCTCTTCACTGTACATCAGTAGAGAATGTGAAAGGGATTTCTTGTTCTGCGTTAATGGATGCGGTGGGAGTTTTCCAAGCTGCTGCTGTGTCTCCAGGATGAGCTGATCTACATGCTGAGGAAGCTGCTGCTGAACATCGGTGATCTGCCCGCTCAGACCTCCCACATCCTCTTTAACTACCTGGTGAGATAACGCCCCCCCCGTTCTGAGTCTGTGTGCCGCTCAGGTCGCGGTTCCTGACCCGGGCTGTGCCTCCAGGTGGGGCTGATCATGTACTTTGTGCGGACGCCGTGCGAGTGGGGCATGGACGCCATCTCGGCCACGCTGACCTTCCTGTGGGAGGTGGTGGGCTACGTGGAGGGGCTCTTCTTCAAAGACCTGAAGCAGACCATGAAGAAGGAGCAATGCGAGGTCAAGCTGCTGGTCACTGCCTCCATGCCAGGTGAGCGGGCCGGCCTTTCACCCTCACTACAGAACACAGGACCAGCTGGACGCTCGTGTCTTTTGGTCTTCAGGAACCAAAACGCTGGTGGTGCACGGCCAGAACGAGTGCGACATCCCCACCCAGCTGCCGGTCCATGAAGACACCCAGTTCGACGCTCTGCTGAAGGTAAACACCCAGCGCTGTCTCCTGTGCTCCACACGCAACACAGAACGGCAGCCCTGCTGAATGAACAGCCGGGATCGTGCAGAGAGGACGTTAGCTTTGTCCGTCTTCTCCCCACCAGGAATGTCTTGAGTTCTTCAACATCCTTGAGGCCCGATCGGCTCACTACTTCCTCATGGACAAGAGATGGAACCTCATTCACTACAACAAGGTGCAGCTTGAACCAGACTAAATGAGTTGTAATTTTTTTTTACGTTTTTGTTTTAATTTCTCAAAATTAACACTTCCTGTTGTCCGTTTTGCTCCGTCAGACTTACGTCAGGGACATCTACCCGTTCCGGCGCTCCGTCTCCCCTCAGCTCAACCTGGTCCACATGCTGCCTGAGAAAGGACAGGAGCTGATCCAGAAACAGGTAGCGGCTCCGGACCCGAACTCCTCCTGTGACCCGCCCCCAGTAGACCCTGAACCACCGTGTGCCGCCCGCTCAGGTGTTCACCAGGAAGCTGGAGGAGGTCGGCCGGGTGCTGTTCCTGATCTCGCTGACGCAGCGCATGCCGGCGGTGCACAAGCAGTCCCACGTGTCGCTGCTGCAGGAGGACCTGCTGCGCCTGCCCTCCTTCCCCCGCACCGCCATCGACGCAGAGTTCTCCCTCTTCAACGAGCCTCAGGGTGAGTCAGACGTCTATTAGTGCGACGGGCGTTGAAACGGCGGCGTCACCACTGCGGTCTGTCCAGGTAAGGAGCTGTTCGGCCTGGACACTCTCCACAAGGTGCTGTGGATCAAGCTGCTGGAGGAGATGTTCCTGGGCATGCCCAGTGAGTACCCCTGGGGGGACGAGATGATGCTGTTCCTCAACGTGTTCAACGGGGCGCTGCTGCTGCACCCGGAGGACAGCTCGCTGCTGCGCCAGTACACCGCCACCGCCATCAACACGGCCGTCCACTTCAACCACCTGTTCTCTCTGAGCGGCTACCAGTGGATCCTGCCCACCATGCTGCAGGTACGCCACCGCCGACTGGGTGACCGGCGCCTACGCAAAGTGATGAGTCTGTTCCGGTTCTGTTCCAGGTCTATGCGGACTACGAGAGCAACCCGTTGCTGCGGCAGGGCATCGAGTTCTGCTGCAGGCAGTTCTACATCCTCCACAGAAAGCCCTTCATCCTCCAGCTGTTTGCCAGCATCGCGCCCCTGCTGGAGTTCACTGTAAGAGCCGATAAAGTCCCTAAAACTCCCTCAGCCTGTGACGCGTGCCCACCCTAACGCTCTGACCCGATTCCCCCTCGAACCCTCCCAGACCAGCACCAGCACCGACCTGTCTAAAGGCGTGTCGGCCCAGTGTCTGTTCGACCTGCTGGTGTCTCTGGAGGGGGAGACGCAGGACGCTCTGGATGCTCTGGAGCTGGTCCAGGCAGAGAAACCGCTGCGCTCTCTGGGTAAAACCTCACCACCTCACACCCATCAGGGCCTCCAGCGGGTTCACCATAAACCAGTCAGCCTGGAAACATCTGGAACTAAATGTTGGAGGATTAGCAGAAAAACCACATGGAGAATGTTTTCTATGCATTGTTTCCCTCGATGCTGTCTCCATCCTTCCATCATCAATAAATCAGTTTAGATAACTCCGGAATGTATCCATCATTGATTTTTCTAACCTTTCTCTCTCTGTAACCTCCAGACTTCTGCTACGGTAATGAAGACCTGGCCTTCTCCATCAGCGAGGCCATCAAGCTGTGTGTGACGGTGGTCGCTTACGCGCCCGAATCCTTCAGGAGGTAGACTACAGCCACGCCGTCTTCTTCTCTGGTTCCCTACAGCAGTCAGGCCCTGATCCAGGTCTCTGGTTAGCCTTCAGATGCTGATGGTGCTGGAAGCGCTGGTTCCCTGCTTCCTTCAGAAGCTCAAGAGCAACACGGCGACAATGGAGTCTGCGTCCGCGGCCAGGGACGAGATCGCGGCCATTGCTGCCATGGCAACGTCCCTGCAGGCCCTGCTGTACAGCTCGGAGGCCCTCACCAGGTCCGGCTTCCAGCAGTAGCAGCTCTGATGGTTTTAGTCTTTGCATTCAGTGCCTGGAAATGTTTCCATCTGCAGACCAATGACTGCCCCGCAGATGTCCCGCTGTGACCAGGGACACAAGGGGGGCACCACCGCCAACCACGCCATGTCCGGAGGCGTCAACACCAGGTGACAGTGGATCTGGTATTCCTAAATCCATCCCCAAGAGGAAGAGGATTGAATGAAGATGTGTGTGTGTGTGTTCCCAGGGACAATCTCCACCTGCTGGAAGAGGGCCAAGGCATGCCGAGGGAGGAGCTGGACGAGCGTCTTGCTCGGGAGGAGTTTCGCCGCCCGCGAGAGTCCCTCCTAAATATTTGCACCGAGTTTTACAAACACTGCGGACCCCGCCTCAAGATCCTGCAGAACATCGCCGGAGAGCCGCGCGTCACGGCCCTGGAGCTGCTGGACATTAAGTCCCACATGAGGTATAGCGCCTCCCTGTGCTTGGTCACAGCACTTGACAGGCAATGGATGTTTTTCGGGTGTTTGCACGCGTTTTTATCTTTCTCTCATCAGGTTAGCGGAGATCGCCCACGCCCTGCTCAAGCTGGCGCCCTACGACACCCTGACCATGGAGAGCCGAGGCCTGCGGCGCTACATCATGGAGATGTTGCCCATCACCGACTGGTCGTCTGAAGCTGTGCGCCCCGCCCTCATCCTCATCCTCAAGAGGCTGGACCGCATGTTCAACAAGATCCACAAGATGCCCACGCTCAGGTGCGCTCGCCCACAGGCACTGTGCACCAGGTCTGTTGAATCCCGGACTCCCTTCTCTGTGGTGGCTGTGTCGTGCTGTGACGCTGGTGCTGTGGTGTGTGCAGTAGCTAGGCAGCTTCTCGGCGCTGTCGTCCATCCAGCTGTCTTTGTGGCGTCTGGTGTGCTTCTGTGCCGGCTGGGTATGAGGCGTTCAGGTGTGTGACGACTTGTGGACTAACAGTGGACCAGAGTGCAGTGTTCCCTCTTAGCAAAGGGAACACTGCCACTGTTCCCTTTGCAGAGGGGTATGTCCACTCTGAAGAGAACACATTACACATTATATTGTGTAGGTTTAGCGCTAGCTTCCACTAAATACCATGTTGATTTAGCGCTTTAGCATTAGCATTAGGATGAATTACAGGAGAAAAGCAGGTTAAGTGAGGAGCTCAGAGGGAACACTGATCTGAGATGTCTGTTTACTACTGTAGCTGCCTCTGTATTTAAGCTTTGCTACATTTGATGTCTACATGTTGTTTTTTTTAAACTAAAAGAACAAAAAGAACAAAAAAATCATCGTTTAGTCCTTTTCGTGTGTTTCGTTGGAGATCTAGAACTTCAGAGGAGTCTCCTGTGGGGCTTTCATGTGCTCTTCTTTTGTCATGGGGTGGAACGTGGTGGTTTTCCAGGAGACAAGTGGAATGGGAGGCGGCCAGTAATCTGATTGAAGGGATCTGTCTGACCCTCCAGCGCCAGCCAATCATCTCCTTCCTCCCGCACCTTCGGTCGCTGATTAACGTCTGCGTCAACCTGGTATGAAAGCACAAACAGTCATGAACCCAATTCTTCAGGAGTATTTCAGCCAGTTATTACTTTTTTATTAAGTGACATTGCAGAAAGTCCGACTATGTAAAGCACTCCACACCAAGCTAATGCCAGAATGTCTGGTAAGCAGGATAAAGTGCTTGCTAGTTGTTGTGAATCGGTTGCTTTCAGAGTAGTTTTTGGCTTCCGCTGCAGTGAAACACCGAAAAGTGGAAGCTGAACATTATTTTGTAACCAGATTCACCTGTTTTGAGAGAAAAGTAGACGTCTCGTTCCGACCTTTGTCACCAGGTGATGGGTGTGGTCGGCCCCTCCAGCGTGGCGGACGGCCTGCCGCTCCTCCACCTCAGCCCGTACCTCTCTCCTCCGCTCCCCTTCAGCACGGCCGTCGTCCGCCTGGTGGCTCTGCAGATTCAGGTGCCGCTCATGACAAGTTCAGCCGACTCATCTAAAGAAAAACAAACCTCCGCCCATCTTCAAGCACATTTTGTTTTCTCCCCGTCAGGCCTTGAAGGACGACTTCCCTCTCAGTCACGTGATCTCACCGTTCACCAATCAGGAGAGGCGAGAGGGGATGCTGCTCAACCTGCTCATTCCTTTCGTTCTGACGGTGGGCTCTGGAAGCAAAGGTAGGAACACTCGATCGCTGAACTCACTCTTTATTTTGCAGCTTTTACGACGTTTTGTTGTGTTGTTGGGCCGCAGACAGCCCCCACCTGGAGCAGCCGGAGATATTCCTGCTCCTCCAGACGGTCATCAATATCCTGCTGCCCCCTCGGATCATCTCCACCTCCCGCACCAAGAACTTCATGCTGGACGCCTCTCCGGCTCACTGCTCCACCCCCGGGGACACTGGGAAGGACCTGCGCAGGGAGGGCCTGGCAGAGTCCACCAGCCAGGCCGCATACCTCGGTACGCACACCTTTAACTCCGACTCTGTTGACGCTGACAGCTCTAGTTTTATTACGGTTTGTGCGATAACCTGGCTCCGCCCTCCACAGCTCTCAAGGTGGTGTTGGTTTGCTTTGAGCGCTCGTTGGGAAACCAATGGTACCGCCTGAGTCTGCAGGTCAAAGAGATGGCTCTGAGGAAGGTGGGAGGCTTGGCTTTCTGGGACTTCATCGACTTCATTGTGCGAACCCGCATCCCTATTTTTGTCCTCCTGAGACCCTTCATACAATGCAAGGTAACATGGCTTCACCCATCAAAAATGGCGGTTTCAGGTTCACCTAGTGTTTTGACCTGTTGCTGATTCTTCCTGTGTCGGGCAGTTGCTGACCCAGCCGGCCGACTCCCAGGAGGAGATCACGGCGCGGCACCACATCGCCGACCAACTGGAGCGCCGCTTCATTCCCAGGCCTCTCTGCAAGAGCTCGGTGTTTGCAGAGTTCAACAACGAACTCAAGATCCTCAAAGAGGCGGTCCACAGCGGCTCTGGTCGGATAACCGAACCGCAACACATTTCCCTACTGATGGTCTGGTCTCTTGACTCTGAACTTGGTCTCCATTCCAACAGCATACCAAGGGAAGACGTCAATCAGCACAGTCGGCACCTCCACGTCGGCCTACCGGCTCAGTCTGGCCACAATGTCGCGCTCCAACACAGGAACCGGCACCGTGTGGGAGCAGGACAGCCAGCCGTCACGGCAACCATCGCAGGACACACTGAGCCGCACCGACGAGGACGACGAAGAGAGTCAGAAATAACACTTTCAACTGGGATGGGCATTTATCGATAGAGTGAAAAGTTTTTTTGTTCCTCTGGAAAAAAAAAAAAAGTCACTTATTACATTAAGTCAATGTCGGCCACCATTTCTTTCTATACTTGTTGTTCGTTTCATGTCACCTTACTACGCTACGCTCCCTTTGCTGCAGTTGACTCCATGAGTATTCCCAGCGTCGTGAGTGAACACGAGGCCTTCCTCCCCAGAGTGATGTCACAGCGGCGTTTCTCCAGCCACGCCACCGGCTCGGCGGCCGCGCAGCCCGAGAATCCCCGCACCACCATGCTGCCCAGCCAAAGGTAGCATCCCAGACACGCGCAACAACAACAAAAAACACACACACACATTCTCCGAGAAAGCGAGAAAGTCCCAAACCACATCCTTGTGGAACGCCACAATGTAAGGTTACCACGGTGACTTCTAACATTAGCACCGTAGTGTTAGAAGCTTTAATCACTCTGTTCATGGATCAATATGAAGAATTAGCATGTTAATGGCCCAGCTAGTAAAACAAAGGCAAGAGTACAAAATTTCTATGAATTGATTTATGATCCATTTTAATGTCCAGTGGTGTTGCACTTATAGATGTAGTCAGTATTTCAGAGGGACAAAAAGAAGAAATATTGACGTTTCTTTCTGTGTTAGTGCAGATTCAGGTCTTCTTTATGTAGCATGCAGGACTTTAACCCAATCATATCCCACACCCACAGTCATATTTTTCTGTGTATATATCTGTTGATTTTTAATATTGCTTTAACTCAACTGATTTCAAAAGTCTCCTCCAGCTTCGGTTGTTTTCAGAGCAGACGCCCCGGCTTTCCGTCCTAGACATAACGGGTCTGGAGGGGGAAAGGGGAAGGGGGTAATGGATCTCAATGACACTCCCTAAACTCCCCCTCTCCCCCCTCCCTTCGCCCCCCCTTTTTACAGTGAACCCAATGTGCTAGATGAGTGCCAGGGCCTTCTGCAGGAGGGTAACCTCTCTAGGTACAGTGGCCCAGTCGTTGTGTGTGTCCCATCGGTGCATTCTTTGCATCTGTCCGCCACTGGGAGAGGGCACGGCCTCGGGACGGCCTCCTCTGCCGGCCGTCGATCACTCATCCACATCCAATCAAATCGCCCCTCTCCACTCTCCTGTCTCCTACTCTTTCTGTGTGGGTCCAGCCTTGTTTCCCCTTCACCTCCCCTTTGAGCTCCACACTGACCCTCATCTTCTCAGCTCATCTTGCTGCTATCCTAACCAGGCCCCCCCCTCCCCACACTTCCTGAACTACAGAGCCCCCACACCCCCACTGGAGCCTGCTCCTCCTGTTAGCTGTGGGTCTCTCCAGTCGATGTGCCATCTCAACAAGTCAGCCTTCCTCCATCGGTGCCATGGTGTCTCATACTGTTTCCGTGTCCAACCGGCTTCTTGCTGATCAAATTGGGCGTCCTGTCGTGGATACCAATCTGTAGGGGCAACGGGGGAACTGGGGCGGCAACAACTCGCCAACACTTTGCTCTTGCTCCACTTTCCTTCTACTTTTATTTAAAACCGATCCCTCCCCCCCAAAAAAAAAATTGGTGTAAGAAGCGTTGCTGCTCCAGCCCCCACTACCCCCTGTTGTGTTTTGGCGTCTGAAGCGTTAGCAGCTACTTGTTTCTTTTCCTGCTCTGTGGTTTGGTGTTCTGTAGCATACCGTGTGTGTTGTGATGAGTAGTTTAGCATCTTGTGTCAATCAGAGGTGGGTTTCGGTGAGCGAACACTCGGGTGTTTTTGGGCCCCGTCACGCTGATATGTTTGTGTGTGTTTCCTGCATTTGTGTGTGTGTGTCCGGTTCCGGTTGACTGAACCAGGGTTGCCAGCGTGCAAAGTGAGCCGGGCCAGCAGAACCTCCTGATCCAGCCGCCGTTAGGAAGAAAGCGTGGACTCAGACAGGTACGGACGTCCCTGTTGTTTGGTCCGGGCAAAACTAAGCAACTGGATTAGCGATTGGGGGAAGATGTACCAATGGGAAACACGGCCAACTGTCACTTTAGAGGTTTTAAGTTGAACCGTTTTTCAAACATTCATGTGCTCTACCTGATTGGAAGTGATTTCTGTTTTCCTGCAGCTGCGACGCCCCCTGCTGTCCATTCCAAAGACTGAACCGCGAGGCCGTTCTGGAGCCAGACTCTCCACCACTCGAAGGAGCATCCAGCCCAAGAACAAACCTCTGGGTAACGGGGAGGGGGGGTTTCTGTTTCCTGTTTCGAGATAAAGTGTGTGTGTAGCAGAACCGTCCCCCCGTCCAGACCTCTGTCTTTGTTCCACAGCTGTGTGTTGTACCGCCTGCCACCACACTGACTCTGTCACTTTGTTCTGTCTCATGCCTTATGTTTCGAAATAAAGAAACTTTATTGGACTGTGAAGGTGAGACCCAGCCGTTAACCCCTTCCTCTCCACCCTGCAACGGCCCGCCCCCTTTCTATCTGCAACCTTGTCCAGTAGGGCGCTCTGCATGTCTGTCTTGCTCCCCACCCAGAACCCCCCTCACCTACTCCCTCCCAGCACCTCGCCCCCCTCCAAATCCCCACCCTGAGCCTCCACTACAGTGTTAGCCAGGCGCTAACTGCTGCTGAGTTTTAGGCTTCTAACCACCAGTGTGTGTTCCTTCAGCGCACGGAAACCAGAAGAGGTCTGTGACCTTCACTGAGACTCAAGGTCAGCAGGGGCCCCAACAGGGGGCTCCGGGCACCACGGAGCCCTCGGGTGAGGGCAGGAAGGCCAGCCCGGCTCCGTCCAAGTCCCCCACCCTGGAGGTGCCGTCTGCCACCGTCACAGCCGACCTGCACGGGCCGGCCAGCATCCAGGTAGAAACGAGCACCGGTTAGATTCACAGCTTCCTGTTTGCATTGGATCAGGGAAAACCGTCTCCTAGTAACCAGGAAATCCTTTAGAGATCTGGTGTTGTTCACTGCAGTAGAGTCAACAAGTCTCCTGTTAAAACAACGGGTCAAGGTCGCTCTGAGTGACCTCTAGTTAGCAATAATTCAATAAAATCTAGATTTGATAGTGTTCTCATTTTAAAGGTATCATAAAACGAGTTATTTATGTAAATATTCAGTACACTTTCCCACTTAATAATCTGGACACCTCCTTATGTAAAAAATAAATAAATCTGTTCTGGTATAGTTTCATGCTTAGTCAGATATATTTACATATTTGTATCTCTGGTTTATATTTTTAATATATCTATTTAATATTAGATGTTTTTTCAACTGAAATCGATTTGAACTCGTCTCATGTAATTTTCTTTTCATTAAATTGTATGCTATTTTACTTTATTTTGAAATTCAGTTTTAATTTTTTTAGGTTTTTTGTTTTAAGTTGTCCACTTAAGTTTAATATTTAATTTCATTTTATTTTTTCGTAAGCTAGTTCTGTTGAACTCCGTTTTCTATGTAGGTTTGCTGCAAATGCTAAAATCAGCAGCATGTTTCTGGCTCCTGTCATGAAATCACCTGATCAGATCTGACCAATCGGATGCAGCGGTGTGGCTCCACCACACCGTAGTGAAGTGGCAGCAGGGCTGACAGCAGGAGGCGGTGTTGAGGTGGTTTGTGTGACCCGGCTGTTTGCCGTCCCCAGGTTCCTGCCGCCCTGAGCAGCAAGGAGAGGAGGGAGCAGTGGGGGCTCCGCAGCAGCCTGTCCCCCCCTCCCTCTATCTCCCGCCCCTCCACCCCCACAACCCTGTCCCGGACCTCCTCACCCCTCCCCCTGTCCCGCACCTCCTCTCCTCTCCCTCCCCCTTTGCCAGTGCTGAGCACGGCCCCCGCCCCGGGTCCCCCTCCGCCGCCTCCACTGCCCCCAGCGTCCAGCATCAGGGACAGCCCCGGGGACGAGGACACGGCGGCACTGCTGCCCCGCGGCGACGCCCTGCTGCAGCTGAGCGAGGACGACGGCACGGAGAACCCGCTGCTGGCCCCGCTGCTGGCCCCGCTGCTAGGCCCCGCCTCACCCCGCCGCTCGCCCCGCCGCTCTCCACTCCCTCTCTCTCCTGTCGACCTGGACCTGGACGAGTCCCACGTCTGACAGCAGAAGAAGAGTTTCGTCTTAGTTCAGCTTCCTCCATCATCAGCTCCACCAGAGTTTTACTACTATTACAACTATTTCCTTCATAAATTCAGAGATTTATTTTTAAACTATATTTTCAGCCACATATTTATCAGTTTTAAATATTAAAGCTTCTAACAGATATTTATAGTTATTCACTGCGCCCTCTACACTTACTGGCACCATGGTCCGAATGCGTCCCTCTAACGCTGGTTGTCGCATATTTTACACATACCAGAAGGTGAATAGTTAACACTCTGCCGCCACGTAGAAGTCGAAGTTAAACCTGATTTTAGAGATGGATGATTTAAAGGCTGGAGCGCAGGGAAGATCCTTTGAGAATGAAAACATGTGGAGCTAGCTGACTTGTACTTTAACTGGGACTGTCTCCATATACCCTTTATCGTACTGACTGAAATGAAGCTTTGCCAAAACAAAAACCAGTAACTGTAGATGGCGCTGTCTCTAAAAGCCATTTTAAAGCTAATACAAAGAACTTAGTCGTTATTATGTGGCATAAGAACATATATTGAGTATTTATTTAATAGAGTGAAAATGTGTTCATGTGTATTTGTTTGTGGGTGACTTTAATCATAAAAATGTCTATTTTAAGCCATCAGGAGCCAAAGCAGAAAGGCTTATTGTTTCGAGAAAAGCAATATTTAATCAGCTCAGTGCCCTTTTAAATTAGATTTACTGTACTTCAATAGAAATATAGATTATCTGCAGTTAGTTTGTTGCGCTGCTACGCGTCGAGTTTGTCATCGTCCCGATGTTTGCGTCGTCATTGTCGTCGTTCAGCAGAAAAACTCCAGCTGTGAAGAACCTCGTTTGCCGATGTCACGCCTCAAGGGAACCGTTTCATCTGTTGACTTCCAGTTGCGTTGGCGTGACGTGGTTAGAGGCGATTGTGCCATCGTTCACACCATCGCACTGTGACTGCAGCTAAATAGCTTCCTGTATTCTGCTGATGTAGCTCTTTTCCTGGAAACGTGTAACAATGGCTGCATGAGACAATGCAGTTTCTTTTCACCTGCTGAATAAACAGGATGAACATGGCCTACTTGGTTCATTTATGTTGTCAAATTTAGCTGTTATGACTCTTTGGTGCCAGTGGGGGGCAGTTTATTCCAACCATACCAGACAAAAAGTGTTGTTTCCCTTTAAAGGTCTTGTATTCTGTCTTGTTTGAATATTTCTCAGCTATCTAAATAAACAAATATTGTTTACTGCCTGCTTGAAGACTGTTTTTTGTTGTTGTTTTTTTTTCTTGGACAAAGTAAGCTTGAGAAAAAAAAACTGAGCTGAAAATACACTTTTTGTGTTTGTGTGTGTGTGTTTGTTTTTAATTCTTTGAAGTTTCTGATATTTCCCAGAAGTCCAACTGCAAAGAACACTGAGGGCAGCGAGGAACGCTTCAGGACCGCCGCGATGCTCTCACACCGACCTGCCGCCGCCTCCAAAGCAGGTCTTTAGAATGCAGTTCCATCCCACGGCCTTTGTTTGAGCCGTCTCCGGGATCAGAGCGTCCTGCAAGAGAAAACCCCAAATTAGCTGAAGAGTTGCTCAACTTTTTCTCTTTAAAATGTGTTGAACATGAGTGGTTAATTTCTGTTTCAACATCCCAATCAAATCTGGAAAGGTTGAAATCGAACAGATGACAAAATGAGACGAGTGACTGATCTGAGACACGTTAGATGATTGATAACTAGAACATAACCCAAAGAAGGTACATTTATTTTATTAATTTTTAAAAAAGCTAGTAAAGTTTTACTAATTTATTTTCTTTGCAGAATAATTTTCACTCAGAATCACTGGAGATTTTCAAGCTTTGTCCAATCAGATTTACCTCCTTACTTTGACTAGGACAGTAAAGATGGCCTTGGCTCCATACCATCACCACCATGGATCTTTTTCTAGTTTCACTCCATCTAACAGGATGCACAAACAGAGTTTTCTTTCTGGCTTGGTGAGACATTTAGGTCCAGTCTCTAACTGACTCATGACCTCTGACCTTTAGAGTACTATAAGGGCAGGAAGTGGAGTAAAGTTCCTCCATAAAAGTCACAAATTTGGAGATTGATTTGACATATTTACAAGAAAAAAACCCTGGATATTCTGTGATGTCAAAATTTGCACAGTTGTAAGATAAATGTTATTTACTTCGGTTAATATCCTGAAACTCAGGAATTTACAAGCTTGAGAATGTCAAAAAATATCCAAATATCCAAAGCTATTGTCATAACTTTGCAATAGCAAAGTTATGACATTAACACTAGAGAACATTCCCGTTTTTATTTTAATTGAGAATATGTGAAAAATAATCAGTTTTTTAGAAGGAATTTACCCCTCTGTGGCCATTTCTTATGGAGCTAAACAATATAGATTTAATATTTTTTTAAGGAAAACTTGGACAGTTTAAAAAGTAGAAAATTAGCTTGGGGGAAAAAATCCCCCAAACGATTCAGAAATTGAAAAATTAATCAGTTTTCTTGAAGAAACTTAAATCCAACTTTTTAAACTCAGAAATGTCTTTTTTTTCTAGAAAGGTTTTGAGATTTATCTAAAAATTTCAGATTGTTTTTGTGAGAGTCAAGAGTAACAATTCTGAATTATTATAAAGCCCTTAAATGACAAATTATTAAAGCACCTGATGGTTTCTTTTTTTAACATAAATCTAATTTTTGAGCTCACTTTGCAGCATTAGCACTTGTCTCCTTCATGACATAAAACATGTTTGTATTTAATCCCATAAATGTTTATGCAGGGTCAAAGGCCACAAGTGAACGGACAGCAGCCATGATGAACAACAGGATCATGCAAGATAATAAATGTCCTTATGTTTTATTCTCATCTTAATTCACACCTAATTGTTTCCAACAGAGTTTTTTTAAGAATGTGATATTGATTTGTTAGTGGAGCTGGGTAAATAATAATAATAATAATTAGTAGTATTTACATAAATCCTTCACTGTTGTTTTGAAGTGGAGCACTTTGATCTGCTAATCATTTTTGGTCCTTTTTAGAGTAAAATGTAAAATGTGTGAATGTAAAAGAAAAAAGAAGAAAATGCAGCTGTGGTCAGAGTTTAGTTTTATTGTATTATTAGCACGTCCGCTGCAACATCAGTGCATTTCACAAATCGGCAAGACAGACGACAGGAAGTCCAAACCCGGAATACAAAGTGACTCCTTTCACTCCCAAGCTCTGACTCTTAAAGTAGAAATGAGAACAGAGCAGACATCAGTGCATCGTTCAGGTTAACCACTGGTGGGAAACAACCGGCTCCCCCCGGAGGAAGGAGGAGCCGCTAAGGCACCAGGAGTGCAGGTGGGGGCGGCGGGGGTAGCTTATTGATGGCCGAGTGGACTGAACCCGCTCCAGCTCCACAGGGAGGAGGGAACCAACAGAACCGCTTTAAAACCAATAGGAGAGCCATGCAGGAGAACCCGGACCAGCTGCTCTACTGGCTGGGCAGGGCCGGAGCTAGAGCCACCTGGAGCTGGGGGGCCGACGCCCAGCAAGACCAGCAGCTACAGGAACCACATGGGGCCCCGATGTTACAGGATAAAGTGTTACGCTTTCATTAGCTGTTAAACATGGAATGATTCATAAAAATGGAAAAATTAGCACGCTTAGAGCAACGTTAACCCCTTAATCACCATTTATTACCTGTTTATAAGCGCTAAACATGTAATAAATTATTTAAAACTCGCAGTATCCAGGCAGTTTAAGCAAAGTGACTTTTTACACGTTTAGATGGATTAAATGAAACCCGAAGATGCTGTATTAACTGATTAAAATGTAGTTAGATGACAGAAAAACTAAATTTTACATTTTATTGGGAAAAAAAACACATCAGACACTTGAAGACAGAGTGAAGAAGGCCAAAGCTTGTCATTCCAGCATATATGTACATACATATAGATGAATAATATCTCTTCAAAAGACTTGAGGTGATTTTAATTTTTTTTTTTTTTTTTTTTAATTTCTTAGACGTATGAACCGCAGTGCAGTGGGATTCTGGAGCTGTTTTTCTGTGACGTTCATCCTGATCGGTCGAGCTGCTGGTCAAGAACAGTCGCAGCGCGTCGCTCGCCCCTCTGTCCTCAAACAAACGCCCGTCTTTAACCAAAGTGAAGCTGAAGGTGGAGAAAAGAAGCAAACCAAGCAGATCTCAACCGTCCAAACCGTCTTAAGGCTCTTAGTACCTGTACAACACGTCGAGATATAAAAACGAGCAGCAGCAGAGCAGCAGTGTGACGGCGGCTCGTCCTCTGAGGCTCAGAGCGTCACCTGATTGGCCGCCGGCTGCCAGAGCGCCCCGCTTCATCCCAACTCTGTGCAACTCACTCACATTCAGCCACCTGTACTTAAAGACAGGAAACGTAGGACTTTGAGTTCTTCCAGAGAGGCTTGCTGTAGGCCCAGCCTTCACCCTGCAGAGAGAAACAGGAAGTAGTTTGGTTCCTGCTGCTAGGCGACAGGAAGAGCCGGCTGCGATGGAGACTCACCTCCCGGTCAAAGTATCTGGTCCTCCACGGCGTCTCGGTCTCGGCCCGCTGGCGCTCCTCGGCCCGCTGCCGCTCCTCCAGGACCCGCTTGTGTTCGGTGGCTTTATCGATGTCCTTCTGCCGCAGCGCCTCCGTCACATGCTGCCACAGCCGCCTGCAACACCAGTTCACCACGTTGGACATCGCCGACGCGGACGCTTCCCGCCAGAACCCAGACCCACCTGGACTCTGTGGGCGCTTGCTTCTCTATGGGCCGGACCCGCTTCCTGGTGACGGGCAGCTTGGTGACGTCCACCATCTTGGTCTCGCCGCTGGTGTAGCTGAACTCCAGCACGCCGTTCCACTCGCCCTGAACCCGACACACCACCGCGTTGGTGGGGTTGTGCTTCACCTCTGCCGTTACCCTGAACACCAACAACAACTCCATGTTTAGTAAATCTAACACCAATATTGTATTGAGTGGAAGTTTGGTTCTTTATTCAGAAGACAGTTGGACTCTCGCTTGGCGCCGCGTCATGCCAACAGGACAGACCGTGTCTCTACCCAAACCATATCATTTGATGGAGCTGCAGCTGAAGGGAGGGAGCTGGTGGTTTTCATGGCGCCCAGCCGTACGTACTTGTGTAACTTTCCGCCGTAGAAGGGCTTGGTCTGGAAGGTGATGACGGCCGAGTAGCCGGACTTGTTGCAGCCGATGTTGACCTTTCCGCCCAGCTCCACCCAGGGCACGGTGAGGATGGAACGGGCATAGGCGCAGGGCAGCGTGAAGGTGTACTCCTCGTCGTGCTCCAGCAGATGCAGGCAGCCTGGACAGAGACGTGGCGAATCAGAGCGGACAAATCCTCGAGAGGCGGCCGTGAAACCAGACGCTGAACATCCAATCCCACCGGCTCTGATAAGCCTCATTAATTACCCACAGCCGCCGTTAAATATACATCAGCCGCTATCTGTTCTTTCCAGTCTGCATTAAGTACAGAAGAGGCAGCAGATCCGACAGCCTGATGCCTCCAAGAACTGATCAAAGCTAAGTTAACGCTAGCGCCACAGGCGGATGCGTTCACTGACCTTCTCCGATCATGGACACGCCGATGGACATCCCCATGAACTTGCTCTTAGTCCACACGTGTGTGTTCACACACATCTGCCTCTCCGGACACTCTGCATAGAAGCCAGACACCGGGGGATGATGGGACACTTGCTCCGCCACAAAGCGCACCTGGTAGGGCTCCGGGGCCTCGGCGGGGGACTCTGCCTCCCCCTGGAGGGCCTCGGGCCCCCGGGGGACCCTCCAGGAGCAGTGGAAGGTCTCCCCGATGATGGGGTTGTAGGGCTTCTTGGCGATGGCGCCCTTGCGGCCCTCGTGGAACGACGTGAGGTAGTACTCCACGAAGCGGATCATGCGGTCCTCGGGGCTGTTGCCGTCAGTGATGGTGACGAAGAGCTCCGGGTGGGACATGAAGTCTGCGTACATCTCCAGCAGGGAGCGCTTCTCCAGGATGAAGGTGGGCAGGACCACCTGCGGGACGGGTCCACACGTCACACCCTCCACACCCAAAACCTCAACTGACCGCAGCACATATTTAGCACTTCTGGTTTCTATGAAGATCCCAGTTTCCCTGCCTTCCAAGTTTGGCTCATTGAAATCACTTTCATTATGAATTCTCGTCTTTCCAATCTTTAAGAGTAGCTAAGAAAAAAATGATTAAATGTGTCAGG